CCCAACTGACATCAGAAAAGCAGGGAAATTCTTCGATGCAACGTTATGCATGGTCAGGTTCTATCCCTCTTTTCACTTAATTGTTTTTCGCTGTGAAAAAGAAAGGTTCAGTTTGGGGTGGGGAGGGGATTTTTGGTTTGGTTTTGTTTTCCCTACAAGTGACTGTGATTTAAAGACAAATGACATCAATAATAAATTAAGGCAAAGCAATATGTCTTAAAGGAAGCACATTCAAGACTGAGCTTGTTATCTTTCTCCCTAACCCTTCTCCCTCCTACCTTCAATCAAGCAATCATCTCCAATCATCCTGATCCATATTTTGCCACTGGACCCAGATGGCTCTAGAGAAGAAAATGAAGCTGGTGACTTTGCACAGCCCTCCCTCACTTAAATCCAATTTACTTGCAAGTCATGGCATCATCTTCTTGATGTCATGGTCATTTCTGAGAATAAAGGGCGAACAATAACAACAACAAAGATGTATTAAGTATCTGCTAGGTACCAGGCACTATGCTAAGCACTAGGGATGCAAAAAAAAAAAAAAAAAAAAAGGCAAAAGACAGTCCCTGTCCTCAAGGACCTTACAAGGACAACACCATCCTCCCAGCCCCTCAGACTCACAACCTAGGAGTCATCCTGGACTCCTCCCTCTCTCTCAACATCCTGCCCCCACCACCTCCCATCTCCTCCCCCCACCCCACCCCAAATCCCTGACACACTCAATCTGTTGCCAAGGTCTGTCGTTTTTACTTTCAATAACATCTTTTGTATGTGCCTCTTTCTCTCCTCTGACACTGCCACCACCCTGATACTGACCCTCATCACCTCATGCTTAAATTATTGCATTAGCTGCTGGTGGATCTGCCTGCCTCAAGTCTCTCCCCACTCCTATCCATCCTCCATTCAGCCACCAAAGTGATTTTCCTAAAGAGCAGGTCTGACCGTGCCATCTCTCACTCAATAAACTCCATGGTTCCCTATTACCTCCAGGATCAAATACAAAATGCCCTGTTTGGCATTCACAGCCCTTCATAACCTAGCCCCTTCCTACATTTCCAGTCTTCTTACATCTTATTCCTTGCCATGTGCTCTTCATTCCAGTGACACTGGCCTCTTGGCTGTTCCATGAGCAAGACTTTCCAACTCGCAGCTCCAAGCGTTTTCTCTGGCTCTGTCCCAAGCCTAGAACACTCTCTTTCCTTTAAGTCCAACTGAAATCCCTCCTTTGACCGGAAGCCTTCCCTAGCCCCTCTTAATCCTAGTACCCTCTTTCTGTTAATTATTTCCTTTTTATCCTGTATATCACTTGCTTTGTATATTTTTGTTTGGATGTTGTCTCCCCTTGTACAGTGTAAGCTCCTTGAGGTCAGGGACTGTCTTTTGCCTCTGTTTAATATCCCAGCTCTCAGCACAGGATCTGTGTTTACTGATTGATTGTACGTATATTGCCTCATTTGATCCTCAAAATAATGCTATCGTTAATTTGTTGTTATTATTCTTAATACCAATAGCTAGCTTTTATATAACACTTTTTTTTTTTTTTGCAATTGGAGTTAAGTGACATGCCCAGGGTCACACAGCTGGTAAATGTCTGAGCTTGGATTTGAATCCAGGTCCCCCTGACTCCAAGGCCGGTGATCTATCTACTATGTCACCCAGCTGACCCTTTATGTAGTACTTTAAGATTTGCAAAGTGCCTTACATATATTATCTCATTTGATCCTCACAACAACCCTGAAAGCTAGGTGCTATTATTATACCCATTTTACAGATAGGAAACTGAGGCAGAGGTTAAGTGATTTGTCCAGGGTCACTCAGTTAGGAACTGTCTGAGTCTGGATTTGAACTCTCATAGCCCAGCACTCTTAATCACTTCAACACCTGTTGGTCCAGATAAATAATAATTATTATAATAAAATATTTTATGATCATACAATGTATTTAAAAGAAAACAAACACCTGTGGATACTGCACTGTTGCAATGCCCATCTGTCCTCATAGGATCATGGAAGCCATGGAAACCTGATTTGGCTTCAACTCCTGGAGATAAGTCCTTGCCCAGCCAGATGAACTGTCTACACTTCCTATTGCCTTCACCTTCAGTTTCTTTCCAGTGTTTGGAAAGCAAACATGCTTCATCCCCACTACTCCACCCTTAGTCATCCCTGGACTCAGGACGGGGTGCAGACTCATCAACTGGGACTTCCCCTGGTTAATGACTAAAAGGCTGCCACCTCCTGAAACACAAGCACCCACCCCACCCTCCCGTCTTGTTATTGCCTCGTTATTCAGAGCTGCTGTCTGCGGAGGCAAAATCCCCTTTGACTTGTAACCACTCCCTAAACTCCCTTCCATCCAAAATCTTTTCCTCACCTGCTCTTTCCATCGTCCTGAACTCAAGGGGATGTGACTCTCCAGGCTATCCACCACTTCTCAGTCATCTTCAAAGGGTGCTGACTCTCCTCTCTCCTCTGTCCAGATCCATCTTCCCTCATTAGAACCTAAGATCCTTGTTTAATTTTCTATCCTCAGCACTTAGCATAGTGCCCAGAGCATCATAAATACTTATCAAATGCTCTTTAATTTCATTTTTAAATAGATTTTGGTAATATTTTTTTCTTTAAAAATTTTTAAAAATTAGAACTTGTTTCAATGAACAAAGAAACTATTTTCTCCTCCTCCCTACCTTTCCCACCTCATTGAAAATGAGAAAGAAAAGCAAAACTCTTGTAACATATGTATAGTCAAACAGAACAAATTCCTACTTTGGCCACGTCCAAAAAATAAAAATAGAGGCCTAGCACCTCTCTGTCACGAGGTGGTCATCATGCTTTATCACTGGTACTCTGGAATCACAGCTGGTCAGTGCAATGAACTGCTTTATTGTTATGTTGCTTATGTTTCTCTCTATTCAGTCAGGCAGGCAACAAGCATTTATTAAGCCCTTACAGTGTGCCAGGCACTGTGTTAAGCACTGGAAATATAAATACTAGCAGAAGGAAAGGGTCCTTGCCCACAAGGAGGCTGCATTATAAGTGGGACATATAAAACAGGAGGAAAAGGGAGGAACAGGAAAGAAGGTACCACCCAGCCAAGGTAGGGTGGGAGTGATAGCAGAGAAAATCCTGCAGCCATGAAACCTGGAGAGGGATGACATTCTTCTACCTCCCACTCACCCCCAGTTATCCCTTATAATAAAAAAAAATTTTAAGAGGAATAAGATGAAAAGAAATCAGCAAAACTAATCAACATATAAAAAAACCTGACATTATACGTTCCACAGCTATGGATCCCCATTGCGCCAAGGACCAAGAAGGTGGCGTCTTATCATGTCTCTTTTTTGAGACCAAGCTTTTCCTTTAAACTTTCATAACATTAATATTTTCCTGTTTTGTGGTCATTCTCTCATCTTTGTGTACATCATTTTCCTGGGTCTGCTCATTTCACTTTGAGTCAGTTCACGTAACTCTTCCCATGGTTCTCTGTATCCATCATGTCTTTTCATTAATTTTCCTTCTCTCTTGAAGACGCTTCAACCTTGGCTACTCTTGGCATAGATTGTAAGGTCATAGAACATAGCCCGCCCTAGAGGTGGAAGGGACCCTTAGAGGACATCAAATTGAACTTATCTATTTACAGGTAAGGAAACTGAGTCCCAAAGAGGTCAAAAGATTTGCCCAAGGTCACACAGGGAATATGTGGGAGGATCCTGGCCCTTTGACTCCAAATTCTGCCCTTTCTTGCTCCCTCCCTCTGCCTCTATCACCCAGCAGCTTCTCCTCCTTCAAAGTTTTCTCTAACTAGGTCTGTGCCCCTTGGTCCTTATTACTGTGATATATTGGACTCCAGATCACTCTCCTTCCTTTCCTAAGAACTTCAGCATCTGGGGCTCAATGTTCCTTTCCTCTCCATTCCAGTGTCTGCTTCCTACCTTTTGGCCCATTGATGTCCACTAATCTACCCCCTCATTTCCCATGATCCACAGCAATCACTGGACTGGTCACACCTTGATGTCACCATCACCTATTACTGTGCTACTCCCATATTTTTGAACTAAGAAACTCCCCACCACCTGCATCTTCCCTCAACCTCAGAAACCCATAGATACACTCTTACTTGATGGAGCATGCATCCTTTTCCTCGTCTGTAAAATGGGAGCTGGGTTTAGACTCAATGTGCCTCCGAGGTTCCATGTAGCTCTACAATAATAATTAATAATAATAGCTGACATTTATATAGTGTTGTGAAGTTTGCAAAGTACTTAACTTTTATCATTTGATCCTCAAAACAGCTCTATGAAGTAGATGCTATTGTTATCCCAACTTCACAGATGAGGAAACTGAGGCAAATAGAACTGAAGTGACTTGCCCAGAGGCACCCCACTAGTAAGTGTCTGAGGCAGGATTTGAACTCAGGTCTTCCAGACTCTAGGCTTCTTGGCACTGCATCACTTGGTTGTCGGTAGGCAAAGATAACAACAAAAGAGAGACTTAGGAAGCCTGTTGAAATGGAACAAGTTGCTCCCAGGTTCAAAGATTAATGGAGTGACAAAATCTTAGCATTGTAAGGGGGTTCAGTGGCCACTGAGTTCAACCCATACCTGACCAAGAATCTCATCAACATTCCTGAAGAGCAGCCTTTGCCTAAAGACCTCAGTTTTAGCAGAAGATTGTCTGATTGCTAAGACTTCTTTCATCTTTAAGTCTCTGGCCTTGGGGGACTCCTACGCCCCTCCCCTTTCCCAGGTCTTATTTGGGAAGTGTCATAGCCCACTCCATTTAGGTTCAGGGGCTCCCTCTGGGCAGGGGCACTTCTGGAAAAGAGTGGGTTTCTCTTCCCCTTCCTGGCTGAGGGATTTAGGAGAGGACCCAATCCAGGAAAAAAAGATGGAGAGTGGGACAATGGTGAGGATGGCCTGAGCTAGGACCCAGGGGAAGGATCATGAATGTAGAGCCCAAAGGGGCCTCAGAGGCTAGTGATTGTTACCCTTCATTTTACAGATGAGAAAACAAAGGCCCAGAGAGTTTAAGTGACCTGCACCCCCAAGTCATGCAGCTAGTAAGTGAAGAGGCAGGATTTGAACCCACACCCTCTGACTTCACATTCAATGCTTTTCCACACTTCCAAAAAGGCAAGTCTCCAAAAGACAAACATGGTGCCAAAGGAAATGAAGCTGAAGTTCCCAGGCTCCATGTGCATTGGTAGTGGTGGCAGGAGCAAGCCAGGTAAGTGAGAGGCCCCCACAGAGTACCCAGACCTTTGGTGTCAGGCAGGAGTCTTTAACACAAGGCTCACATTGAGATCTCATCAACCAAAATTTCCTCTTCCATGGGCTCAAACTATAAAATTGTCTTCTTTTATCATCCCATAAGGTCCCTTCCACCTGTATATCTATGATTCAAACCTATTCTTCATTCTCACTAGGACCTCTGACCCATCTAACCTTCCCTATTCTACCAGTCCATCATGCCCTTTCTGGCCTCACATTCTGTCCTGCCCAGGTCTTGACCATAGATCTGGCAAATTCAGGGACATTCTGTCCTCCACCCTTGTTTCCCTTGTCCCTTTTCCTGCCAACCAACAAACACTGAGTACCTCTTATGTGCCAGGAACTGTACTAGCCTCTGGGGATACAAAAAAGGAAATCACCCCTCCTTCAAAGAGCTTCATTCCACCAGAGGAGAAAATCTGTACACATATAAAAATATGTACATATATAAAATATATGCACACATAAAAATAGACATATAAACATATATATACACATATAAAAATACATACACATAAAATAGACACTTAAACATATATGTACACATATAAACATGCACACATATAATCTGTACATATAAAATATTCACACACATAAAATATATACATGTATAACATATGCATACATATAACATATGTACACATATAAAATTTTCCTTTTATTTTTATCTTGCTTTTTGACTCCTACCATTTTCACTTTATCCTTCCTAGTTTAAAGATCTCTCTACTTGGAAGAGAAAACGGAATCGGAGTAAGAGTTGAGTAGTTTTGCCTTCTCTACATCATCATCATCTCTTCCATCCTGAGAAGGGCTTCTATCACCATTTTGATGTTCCTTTTGTCCTTAACACAGTGCCTCACACGCAGTAATAGCTTTAAAAGACTCTTCTGGTGTCTTCAGGATAACCACCAATCTCAGCTATTTCTGGTTTGATTGATTATTAGAATGTATTATAAACATTGTTATTAAAACTTTTAATAAAATAATTATGGGTTCTCTCCCCAGAGAGTCAGGTATATAGGTGTTGGTTGCATGAAGATAGAGGCTGGACACCACAGTTCTGTCCCTGGCTTTTTGACTAACTGAGTCTGGCAGAGAATAGCTGAAGGCTTTTCCCAAGGAAGGCTTCCCCTTCATGAGATCTGGCCAAAGTTTTTTGGTTCCAGCCTCCACCCCCCTCCCCCCCCCCCCCCCGCCATCTTATCCCTGTCTTGCCTGTCTGGCTTAGCAGCAATTGTGTGTGTGTTTGTCCCTGATAGGGGGCACAGATCACATTTCCTAGAGATAAAGCAACTCTCACCTAAGACCTCCATCTGTGGCTAGGACCAGAATCGATAAGGTAGTGAGTTCCTCAACACTAGAGATATCCGAACTGTGTTTGGATGAACTTTTTTTCAGGAACATTATAGAAGGGATTCATGCATCGACATTGAGCTCCCTTCCAGTTCTAAAATTCTGTGATTCCATGGGTAGAAGAAGTGGCAGATGTTTGTAAACTAGGCCGAATGGCCTTCAGGAATCTAAGCCACTGGACAGTCTCTGTTTGGGAGCTCAGGTCACCACAGGTCTCCCTTCACCCATAAGAACACCAGAGCTGCAGGTGACTCTTCTGGCCCCATTCCCAATTGCTTGACAGATGTTAAGGGACATGGGAGGAAAGGGGAAGAGATGGGGAAGGGTGGGAGCCTATGGAGGTAGGAGCCATGAAAGAAACCTGTTTTTATTCTTATTCTTCATTCTTCTGGCTGTGGGAGGTGGAAATAGAAGCAGCTGGGCAGGAAGAAAAAGCCTGTCTCCCATATCTCCCCTCTGCCCTCCTCCCCATCAGCAGAGGAAGCTGATGGAACCACTGGAAGGAGAGTAGAGGGTCCCTCTTCTTTGTCTTGCCTTCCTCTCTCATCTCTCAGTTTGGGCATGAGTGTGAAAAGATAAAGGCAGGGACTGCCAGAGGTTTCCCAAAAACACAGCCTCTCTTCTCTGGGAACAATAATTGAGGAGAGTCAGCAAGATATGACGAGGTCCCAGGGGACTCACAAAATTTAGGCTATTTCTTTAGTTTTAAGGGTCAAAGTTGACCTAAGCAATGTTCATACAAGCTACTGGCAGGGATCAAAGGAGAGGGGAGGGAAAGAGAGGTGAATGGTGGGGAGAAGAAGAAGAAGAGAGAGAGAAGGAGTAAGAGGAGGAGGAAAAGGAGAAAGAGGAGAAGGGGTGGAGGGGGAGAAGGGGGAAGAGAGAAAGGAAGGGGAGGGGGGAGGAGGGGGAGAAGAAGAAGAAGAAGAGGAGGAGGAGGAGAGGAGGAGGAGGAGGAGAAAAGAAGGAGGAGGAGGAGGAGGAAAGGAGAGACAGGGAGAGACACAGAGAGAGAGAGATCCTGAATGATCACAGGATCACAGATGCCAACCTCAAAGAGTAGTTAGGAGTGGAGGGCGGGGGCATTCTCCAGCCTGGAGAGCAGGGCATGTAACACAAAATGGCAGCAGTGATGTCACCCCCTTGCTCAAGAGATCCATCAATGGATTGCTGAATTAAGCCAATTGTCATTCAAAGCAGTTATTTGATGCCAGCATCAAATCAGCTTTTGGCATTATGGTCTAATAGAAAGGATGCCGGATTTGAAGTCAGCCGACCAGATTCTGGTTTTGTCTGTGATGGTGAATACCTGTGTGACCTGGTCAAGTCACTTCTTTCTGGGGATTACTTGCTTATTTGTAAAACAAAGGCTTTGGACTAGATGACTTCTAAGGACCTTTCTAGCCCTAAATCTATGTTCTTAAATCACTTAAATCTCCCTGGCCTCAGTTTCTCATCTATAAAATGTCTTGATAGCCTCTAAGGCTCCTTCCAGCTTTAAACTTATGAGCCTATGATGATATCTCCCACTACTGCCTTTGACCTGCTCCATTCCCCAAACAGGACCACTCATTCAATCAATCAGTAAGCATTATTAAGCACCTACTATGTGCCAGACATTGTGCTAGTCACTGGGAATACAAATATAAAAATAAAACAACTCCTGCCCTCTAGGAGATTCTGTTTCTATTGAAGAAAACAAATATACAGAATATATATGTATATATTATATAATATATTATATTTTATATATATATTATATAATATATTATATTTTATATATATATTATACAAAGTTAATGTAGGTTGATTGGGGGGGAGGCACTAGCAACAACAATAATAGCAATAATAATATAGTTAACATTTATACAGTTATTATAAGCCATGCATTATGCTTCATCCTTTATGAAAATTAACTCATTTGATCCTCCCAATAACCCTGGGAGGGAAGTGCTATTGTTATCTCCATTTTACAACTAAAGCAAGCAGGTTAGGTGACTTGCCCAAGGTCACATAGCTAGTCAAATATCTGAGGCTGGATCTGAACTCAGGATTTCCTGACTCCACGCCTAGCCCTCTATTCACTGATGCCATTAGCAGCTAATGGGGATCAGAAAGACCTAATGTGAATGGGGAAGCCAGGGATTCTAAAGACAGATTTGAAGAGAGAATATGTTCCAAGTGGGGTGTGTGTGTGTGTGTGTGTGTGTGTGTGTGTGTGTGTGTGTGTGTGTAGGAATTTGATTAGAATACCCCTAAGGCAGTTAATGAATCAGTTCTGGTAGGACATAGCCTCACAGACCTTTACCATCCTGGTTGCCTTCCCCCAGGTTTCCCATCCCCTGGTGGTACTCAGAACATCCAGATGTGGTCTGTCTAGGGTTGAGTACTAAGGAACTCTCACTTCTTGATTCCTGGAAATGAGACTTCTCACTGTAGTCCAAGAACACATGGCTGCCACATAATACTGATGATTCATATTGAGTTTGCTATCCACTTAAATCCCCAATCTTTTCCCCGCAAACAGCTGTCAAACCAAGTCTCCTCATTTGCTTATGAAATTCATTCCCCAGAAAGGGAAATCCTATTCCAAATGACTGTCAAAATGCATAAAATAATTAGAGATCAGGCTACCAATGCACACAAAAGACTTAGATAGAATCAAATACAAAATGCTCCTCGAATAAATACAGAACAATTTAAATAACTAGAGGAATAGCCGGTGTTCATGGCTGGGCCATGCCAATATAATAAAAATGGCAATACTACAAAAGGTAATTTATAGTTTTAATGCTATGCCAAACTCAAAAATTATAGAACTCAATAAAATAATAACAAAATTCATTTGGAGAAACAGAAGAGCTAGATTATCAAGGTAAATAATGAAGAAACAATACAGATGAAGTGGAGCTATCACTTTGAGATCTCAAATTATTTTGTACAGCAGCGGTCGCCAAAATGTATTAATCACAAAATAGGGAAGTAGAACAGACTAGGCAAGGGTGATTCAGAAACAATGGAAACGAATAACCCAGTGTTTGAACAAAATTGAAAACAAATTATTTAAGAAAAAACTCCCTATTTGATAAAAACTGCTATAAAGAAATTAGGTTTAGGGGGCAGCTAGGTGGCGAAGTGGATAGAGCACCAGCCCTGAATTCAGGAGGACCTGAGTCCAAATCCGGCCTCAGACACATAGCTATGTGACCCTGGGCAAATCACTTCACCCCATTGCCCACCAAAAAAAAAGAAAAGAAATTAGGCTTAGATCAACACTTTATGCCATACTCCCTAATAAAGCATTATGGATACATAGCCTTAATGTTAAAGATAATAGAATTTTAAAAAATTAGAAAAGAAGCAAATCATATACCTCTCACAGCTTTGGATAGGTATATTCTTAACCAATCAAGGCAAAGAGGCAATTGCAAAAGATAAAATGTACAATTTTGATTACATGAAACTGGAAAGTTTCTGCACAATCAATTAGTCAATAAACATTTATTAAGTGCCTACTATGTTCTAGGCACTGTGATAAGTGCTGGAGATACAAAAAAGGCAAAAGACAGCCCCTGCCTTCAAGGAGCTTACAGTCTAATGGGAAAGACATCCTAAGCAAGCTATGTACAGGATAAATAGGAAATAATTAACAGAGGGAAGGCACTGGCATGAAGAGGGGTTGGGGAAGACTTCCTGTAGAAGGTGGGACTAAAAGAAAGCCAGAGAGGTCAGTAGTCAAGAACAAAAGAAGGAAACCTTTGCAGGAATGGGGGACTGCCAGAGAGAATGCTCTGAGATAAGAGATAGAAAGGTCTTGTTTGCGGAAGTCAGGAGGCCAGTGTCACTAGATTGGAGAGTATGCATTGAGGAGTAAGATATAAGACTTGGAAAGGTAGGAAAGGTCAAACAGAGCATTTTGTATTTGCTCCTGAAGGCAATGATATGCCACTGGAGGGTGATATAGTCAGACCAAGCTTTAGGAAAATCACATTGGTGGCTGAATGGAGGGATTGTAGTGGGGAGAGACTTGAGGCAGGCAGACCCACCAGTGGGCTATTGTAGTAATCAAGGCATGAGGTGGTGAGGGTCTGCATCAGGATTGGGGCAGTGAAAACCAAATTAATGCATCTAAGTAACAAAGTGGTTGAATTGGGGTGGGGATCTTTGTATCAAATTTCTCAGATAAAAGTTTTGGTGTCCAGGATAGAGAGACAACTAATAGATATGTAAGACTAAAACCATTTCCTAATATACAAAGTAGTCAAGAAATAAAAACAGCCAGTTCTATGAAGACTTGCAAACTATTAACAATTATACAAAATAATGCTCTAAATCACTAATAAAAAGAGAAATGAAAATCAAAACAACCCTGGGGTTTCACCTCATACTCAGCAAATGG